CCCAGTGCTCCCCCCACCAGCGCTGATACCCCCCCGCCCCAACCCCCGGCAGGTGCCGCGGGCCACCGGTGTCACGGCACCGTCAGGTCTCTGCAGGGGACTGACCTGCCGCGGGCTCCCCAAAACGCCTCTTTGGCGCTGGGCAAGGACTGGGGGCACTGGGCAGCCCGGGGGGAGCACTGGGCAGCCCGGGGGGGGTCACTGGGCAGCCTGGGAGGGGGCACCCACAGCCCCTCCAGCCCCCGCCGGGGCCGGGGCAGCTCCTTCGCTTGGCTTCGTGCGGACGAAGTGGGAGGGGCTGGGTGGGCACCGCCCCCCGCGCCCACCCCGCCGGGCACCCCCCGAGGCTTTTGGCAGCCCTGGGCACCCCCCCGAGGCTTTTGGCAGCCCTGAACGTAGATGAAATAAAAGCTTCGGCCGCTTTCGAGAGCTGAGCCGGGCTCTGGTGTGTCCTTCGCTGGTGCCACCCCCGAGGGGCGTCTCGGGCCCGAGGGGACCCCGGCGCTGCTCGGCCTCACCTTCCCCCCTGTTCCCAGCACGTTCAGAGCATCCCAACGGCATCCTGCTTGGATTTGTTGGGACCAGATCCAAGGGAGCAGCCCAGGAGCCACCGTGGGGGTGGCAGGACACGGATGGGGACCCCGGGGTCCCCCAGAGGGGCTGGGGGCTTCCTCCCCACCCCGGCCCAGCTGAGCACGGCCCATCCATCACCTTCACCAGCTGATGGAAACAAAGAGCTGCTGGGATGTGACAGCCCTGGCAGGGCACGGTGGGTGTCGGGGGCCACGGGGGTGGGTGACGGGGGCTGGGGTGCAGGGAGGACCCCAATAAATCCATCAGCGTCTTCCCAGCTCGAGGGGGATCCGTGGCCACGCTGGGGACACACGTGGCAGCCACCACCGGGGGGATTCGTGGGGAGCACCAGGAACCCCGGGAGAGGGGTTGGGTTTGCTGCGAGTTAAGTCCATGTGGTGATAAAAGAGGTGGCAAAAAGGACACGGGGGGACCTTCTTGGGGGGACCTTCTTGGGGGTGCCCACAGCCCCCGGGAGGGCACCAGGCTCGGGGAACTCGCTCAACTGTTAAAAAAATTTATTAAAATGTCCAGCAGTACAGAAAGGCAGAGTCAGAAACGGGGGGCAGGGGGGGGCCGGGGCTGGGGAGGGGGTCGGGACACGGCAGTCACGTCGCAGACAGCAGAGATCAGAAAGCGCCGTACACACACACACACGCAACTCCAACGGGACCGGGACCGCGGGAACGGGGCAGGAGGAACCAACCGGCCCCAGAGCGGGCGCGGGGCGGGACCACGGCCCTGGTGGCACCTGGTGGCACTTGGTGGCACTTGGTTGCCCCTGGTGGCACTTGGTGGCACCGTGTCCCCGCCCCGCGGGCAGGACCGGGGTGCCGGGGAAGGAAAATAGGGGGGGCTGCTAAAAAAACCAGAGCCACCCGACTGGACGGCCGGGGTGGGACACGGGGGGGCTGCCTGGGTAACCCCCACTTTGGGGACGGGGCCAGAGCCCAGCCGGGGGTGGGGGGGTCCCTGTGCGGGGCTGGGGGCTCGGCCCCGGGCCGGGGGGGGCTGAGCGTTGGGCATGCAGGGAGGGCTGGGGACGCACACGCAGCCGCCCCCTCCGGATCCTATTCCCTACGGGGCCGGGCATCCTAAGGAGCTAAAGCCAAAAGGGGGTTATAAAAGAGAGGGGGGGGGCGAGGGAAGGGGGTGGGAGAGGGGGGCGGGAAACGTCACCACACCCCGCGGGGGACCCTTGTGCTCGGCGGCCCCCCGGCTCTAGAAGTAGTGCCCCTCCTCCATCCAGTCCAGCCGGAGGTGCTTGCGGTGTTTTCGCCGCTCCTTGCGGGGTTTGTGGTGGTGGTGCTGGTGGTGGGGGTGGCTGTGCCGGTGCCGGCGGTGCCGCCGCGCTCGGTGCGACCGCCTGGCTAACGGGGG